CCTCTGATCAGAAAGCTGGATTGGAGGTTGAGTTTCTTTCTTAATTTCTCTGCAACAATTCAGGAGTGGTTTAAGACCTCATGATAACCATATGCTTCTGCACTCACTTCTTAATTCCTTTGGTATTTCTAAGCTTGAAAATTATCTGGGGAAAAATCATTGTAGTAAAGAACAAAGTTACAAAATAATACATTTTTCAGCTAAGTTGCTCAAGTAATCAAAATGCTCTCCTACTATTATCTCAGTATTTAAAGGAAAAAATGTAAATGTAGAGAGCATAATTCCTTGTTTAGACAATCTTCTGGGTTGATAACTTCAGGGAGATTTGACCTGGATATTTCTCAGTTTCTTCACTCTCCTTCAACTTGACTGCTTTGCTGCTTCCTACTATTGGGTTTCATTCTGCTCAGTCTTCATGGGTTCCTTAGGAAGAGGACAAAGTATGGCGCAATGATGATTATTCTGTGTTCTGATTTAGGATTGCTCTAATTAATTCCAAAAGCACTGATGGATCCTTTGGCTTGCCATATTGCTTTTTCACAGCTTGCTGTGGAAGTAAAGCCTTCCCAACCTAAATAAAGAGGGTTTTTTTAGGATAAAAACCCTTAATAGTTGTGAAATGCTAGTTACTATGGTAATGACGGTTATGTAACACATGGGTGGATATTAATACAGCAGGGAGGCTGGTACCTTTCTAAACATCTAGTTTAGCTTTTATATGATGGATACAAACATTACATTTATGTTCGGCTGCCTGGCTGCTGCTAGGCAGCAAGAATGAACAAAATATACTACAGTAAATGAACTGCAAGAAAAAATGACTGATTTGTATGACAGAAAATGAGATCAATCATTATCCGAGCATTACTGTTTTGCTACCAGATCTCTAAAGCATCAAAGTCACATTTTATGAAGTCATACATGGGAATTGGTTCTGAGAATTATGATTAAATTGCATTTTTAAAAATAATTTAAGCTTTTTTTATTCAAATCAAACATACAGTAGCAGCCATGGAAACAATAAAGCGAAACAAAATAAAATTCTGAAACACAACCTGGGGCGCAGTAAAATCTAAAAGTTTGTCTAACTAGATTTTAAATTGAAATTGATGAGTCAGTGTAAATCAGAGGTTTCTGACCAGTTCTGGAGAACCGCTAGCAGAGATTTTGACTAGTTCAGAGATAAATACAACCTCTGACTGGCCCTGCCCCCATCTATTTTCTGCCTCCCGAGTCCCAGCTGATCAGGAGGGAATGGGGATCTTGCAGGAGGAAATGGGGATCTTGGAGTGGGGAGGGAATGGAGATTTTACAGTATCCTTCCCCTGCCATGCCCACCAAGCCACGCCCACCAAGTCATGCCATGCCCACCAAGCCACACCCACAGAGCTGGTAGTAAAAATTTTGAATCCCACCACTGGTGTAAATGGCAGGTAATCTCTGATGGAAGGGTGTTTCATAATTGCAGGCAGAATCTGTGAGCTGGATAAGTTATACTGTAAAACTGTCCATTTATTGGATATAAAACAGAATGGGCCCTATCAGACCAACACTATAATTACAGTATATAAATGCTTACTCAGAAGTAAATATAGTTAACGTAATATCAAATGTGCTACTTTTGCTGGTATTTTTTCACTCTGTAGAACCTTAGGATGTGGGGAAGTGTTGAATTTGTGAAACCTGCCATTTCTAATAAAGTTTTATTCTGCATATCTAAAAGAAGCAGCAATGACAACTTGCTTTTATAAAATAAAGTTCTTTGAATCCTACAAGAGATAATTTCCAGTTACTTTTCAGTATTCCTTTGTGTGTGTGGGGGGAGGAACATGCTGTAATATGTACAGGTAGTCCTCAATTTATGATTGTATTTGAGCCCGGAATTGTGGTCATAAGTCAAGCCAGTTGTTAAGTGGGTCATTACATGACTGACCAGATTTTACCACAGTGTTTTGCAGCAGTCATTAAGCAAATGTGGTGGTTGGCTCCTCTTTGGACTAATGTAACATTCTTTATGTGAAGATTTGAAAAATGTTTGGAATATTTGTTAATTCAGACGCCTCATCCAGAAGGTTGGCAGCGCATAGTTATAGTGAGCAAGTGGCCTCTCTTGTTAATATCTATGAATCTGATTCTGTTTATAATTTAAAGTACTGTCAACCCTATATAGCTTGGCATCAGGCTATGTAACAATTACATTGACCCTTATAACAGCAACCTTGTTTTTAATTTGGCCAACATCGAGAACAGATTTGGTGAGATTATGAAAAACAGAACAGTGGTTCTTTGCAGGCTTTGGAAATCCCTGCCACAGAGAAAATATTGGAATGTTTTTCCTTAATTAAGCAGGCTTTTCACCTGAGTCTAGGTAGATGCTATCAGTTTTAACTTATATTTAATTATATTTGTTTGTGATTTCAATTATCTTTTTTTTATAGCCACATTGGATACTGTCACTGGCAGAAAACAAAGCATAAATCCAATGTAAATTACCGCTTGGGGAACTTTATTAGTTTTGCTAATAATTTAAATCAGTACAGAGAAAATACAGTGGCATTTATTTTTTTCATAACAAATTTCACGTAGCTTTTTATAAGACATTATCATAAGCACACTTCTGAAAATAAATAATTACTGATCTTTAGTTGTATGTTTCAAAAAAACAATTGCTTTTATTTTTACGACAAAATAAAATGCAGACATGTTGCAATGACAATGAACATTGTTTATCAATATCTGCATAATTGGAATTAGTAGTAATAAAATGAGAAATCTTTTGTAATCAGAATTTACACTTTTAGCCCTTGATTAGTCCTTGATTAAAAGTCAAGCACTTTTAATTTGCTTAATTTTAATTGGAGAATTTAGGAAGTTCTTAATTTTTTGCCACTGAATTGTTATTCATATTGAAGTTTTTAAAAAATAATTCATCTTAGTTGGGGTTGCTTTGAATATATTTATATAGAAGTCACATGCAACTTGTCTATTATCTATTGAGAATAAAGTTGCAAAAATAATCTGAAACAGAAACTGGACACTTTTAAGAACCTGGCACTGAATGATGATCTGAATGAATTGAAAACTTCTTAATTGAATGTGCATATGACAATATTTTGAAGGCTCTGTTTTAAGAGTTTTATTGTATTCGTTTACAATAGGGATGTCAAACTCGATTTCATTGAGGGCCACATCAGGGTTGTGTTTGACGCCAGTGGGGCCAGCTTGACACCACTCATATTGGGTTGCCTGTGGTAGCCTGAGTGCTCTGCCAGTGAAAATGGGCTCCTGAGCTCCGTTTTCAGTTGTGATGGCATCAGAGGTGGGTTCCTACCAGTTCAATAGAACCGGTTCATTAAATCTACCNTTGCAAAGTTGACGCTGGTATTTTAGATAGTAATAAAAGAAATTCCTCAGGAATGGTCCCCGCCCGGATTAATTTTTAAATAGCTTAGCTTTGTCCTGGGGGGGGGGGCAATCTGCCTAGGGCTGCAAAAAAGGCAGCTGCGGAGAACTGGCCGGAGTAAAAGCTCAGCTAGTGTTGAACCTCTTCTCCATTCACAGCAAAAAAAAAAAAGCTATGAATTACAAAGAGATCCTAACGACTGACCTTCTCCCTGCCCCTTTCTGCCAGAAAGGGGAGATATCTATAGATCTTATAAGATATACAAACCAGAATCCTGACAGGAGCTCCGCTGAGCTCCCGACGGCGGCAGGCTCCACCCCCCGAAGCCAATCGTACTGTAACTCTTGTCCCACAGCGAATTGTCCCATGACGAGTTGTCCATGGCAAATTGTTCTGCCGTGAGTTTTCCTGTGGCAGGTTGGCCACAGTGAGTTATCATACCCTAACCCTAACCACAGCTCAGAGTAATTGCTGTAATGCAGGCATACTGCAATACCTAAGAGCTTGCTGTTTTGCCCCAGCCAGAATGGAACAACTCGCTGCAGCCAACTTGCCATGGCCAACTTATTGTGGGATAACTCACCATGGCCAACTTGCCATAGGACAATTCACTGCAGGACAATTCAACAAATCAATTTAATTATTTAAAATACTGTAGTTTTAAAATATTTTAATTTTTGTCATCCATAGTTCATTTTGCCCCTCCTTCATCAGGCTTTCTCTAATTATTGTATTCCACTATTTCTTTGAAATTAGTGTAATTCTTTTCCCATGGCAAGTTGGCCATGGCAAAATGTCCAATGGCAAGTTGGCTGTGGCGAGTTGGCCTTGGTGAGTTGGCTGTGGCGAATTGTCATAAACCCTTTGCCAGACCTAGATATTCAAGAGGGCTACTGTATAAAGCTTACTGCTATCTTAGTTAACCTGGGATATTCATTAACATTCTACAACTGATCTTCTTAAGAATCCTCTCAAAAAGGATCCATCCGACAGCCATGTGTCAGAAATGATTTCCTACAGATTCCTGCAGAAAATAGGGGGCTGGGCTTGCTGGATTAAATGTCCAATTCTGATATTTTACTGCATGAAGTATAACTTATGTAGATCCAGTGAGATGGGGACGTTCTAGGAAATGGAGGGAGTTTTGTAGTTTCAGAGAAATCTTTATCTCTATTAAATCATATGCACAGTGGCAGGACTTTGGGTTGGGCACAAAGGACAGTCAGCCATTGACCAGCTTGAAGGCAGCAACAGTGAACACTGGCTAATTTCTGTAAGTTTTACACTGAAAAAAATATAGATGTGCCGGTGCTTGAGATGCTGTAAACTCCAACATGATCAGAAAAGGATAAAAACAATTTAGGTCACTGATGGTGTTACCTAGTTGGGTAATGAAACTTGTGTGAGAACACAATCAAGCTCAGAGAGCACCAAGGACCCCATAAAGCCAATCTGGATGTATTTAAACTTGTGTTGTAAGACTTGAGAAATGAATGGTTTGCCTGTCTGGAAATCCTTTCTGGTTCACAAAACTGAGAAAATGTATCTATCTATAAAGTTAATACATTTCACCCTAATTCTTCTTCCTACAACTCAGCATCAGTGACTCGCCTACCCATCAAGTGGATGGCTCCAGAGTCAATCAACTTTCGCCGTTTCACCTCTGCCAGTGATGTTTGGATGTTTGGTGAGTAGAAGGTTGGACAGGAACAGCCATGTCTACATCCTTCAGATGAAGAGCTTATCTGTACCTGCATGCCAACAAGAAATTGTTTAATATTCAAGCCCTGCCACTTTCCCCAAACCTCTTTAGAAACAAGTGGCATTGTTTAAATATCCAAGTCCACCCTCTAAATTGGTGGTTGAAAAATGGACTCTGTCAGCAGGCACTGCCAGTTTATCCCGAGCTGTATATGCAATCCAGTTTCTAAAACATTTCCTTTTGTGCACAGCTGTTTGCATGTGGGAGATCCTTAGCTATGGCAAGCAGCCTTTCTTCTGGTTGGAGAACAAAGATGTCATTGGGGTGCTGGAGAAAGGAGACCGTCTCCCCAAGCCAGATGCCTGTCCACCTATCCTTTATGCTCTGATGACCCGCTGTTGGGATTATGACCCCAATGACAGGCCCAAGTTCAAAGAATTGGTCTGTAGTTTAAGGTGAGTGAGCCTTATCTTCCAAAAAAAAAATTGTACAAAGGAAAAGGAATGTTCTGCAACTTGAATAGGTTATATAAGCAAATCTTCAGAAGTTTTTTTAATCAGGCAAAATGTATTCTGGTTTCGTTTGTCAATAAGTTTCATATGCAAAGGCATTCACACAGTAACAAAAACTCCAATCAGCCAGTAATTTGTGAGATTTCACTGAATCTTAAATGCTGCAGGGAGACGGAGCAGGAGGACAATTATATTGGATTCAGTATCCCTTCAGTCCCAGCTAGCATGATCGATAGACCAAAAAAAGGTGCTCTAATCCCTTTGCATAAATTAAATGATACGGTCTTGTAAAATATTTACAAACCACCGAGAGAAAGAAAGAAAAGGCCTACAGAGCACTCTATAGGCAGCAGATGGAGCTCATGGATAAGCTAAATGGTGATCTTCTTTTTCCCTTCCGTTTCTGAATTTCAGTGACATTTACCAGATGGAGAAGGAGATTGCACGGGAACAAGAGAAGAATAATCGCCGTCGCCCCCCAAAAATCATGGAGCCTACCTCTTTCCAAGAGCCCCCTCCAAAGGTGTGATTTTGCTGGAAATGTTCTGCAAATATGGACATTTTTTTTTTAGCTTTGATGTGAAAAAGATGTGGCACCCACCATTGGTTTTGGGAAGAATCATACAGGTTTTGTCCTCAGAATGGGGATTTTGCACTACCCTTCCCCTGGAGTGGGGTGGGAATGGAGATTTTATAGTATCCTTCCCCTGCCATGCCCATCAAGCCATGCCATACCCACCAAGCCACACCCATAGAACCAGTAGTAAAAAAAATTGAATCCCACCACTGCACTGTAGGTGCCATTTCTGTGATTCCTCGGGATTCACCTTTTTTAAAAAGCAACGGTAATATATATTTCACTCCTGAGCTGATCTTCAGGCTTTTTTTGTTGATTATCAGCCACAATCAGTTCAATTCAAAATGAATAAAAATCCATACTTCTTAAAATGTCACCAATTCAATATTAATGTTTGCAGAGAATATACCCCCAATTACATCAGTTACTAATCCACCACCAACTCCTTTGAGTTCTGAATGATTTTATTTTCAGCGTCTGATCATCATAATCTGTCCTCCCAGGCAATATTTTAAAAATGTTTTCACTGTTGTTATATACAGCAGAATAATTGGAAAGGCAAAACAAAACTCATGACTGATCATAAAGTAAATTACATTCTCTGTGTCATCCAGTAGAAAATGTGAAAATGTCATGATTACTGACTACATTTCATAAGAAGATGGAAGACAATAAAAGGAGACTAACTTAGACATATGTGTGGTGGGTGGCAGGCTGTTTGGCTAAAAGCTCCTGATTCTGATAGTCAGAAAGTCATTGTCCACATGTTATTATTCTCTCAAATATTGTCATGGTAATAAAACAAGAGGAAAGAAACATTTGGACATTGCAAAGGTTTAGGAATCAAAGCCAATAGTTCTGCATTCAATACATTATACAGTAAACAACATAAACTTCATCGGAAGGTATATTTGAGCTGCATTATGATGAAAAACATTTCTCAATATCAATAGAAGACAGTCGGTTGAAATTTCTGCAGGAATAAAACCCTAACTCCATTTCTTTTATTTCCTCTTTTTCTTTGACCATCTGGGATGGCCATTGTAATAAAATTATGTGATTAACATAACTAACATCTTAATTCACCATGCCTGTTTTAAAAATATTTTTAAGCCTTCAGATATGTCTTATTCCTACAACTGCATGGACTAATCCCTGTAGTTTTCTCGGCAAGATTTTGGAAGTGATTTGCCATTGCCTACATCCTAGGGCTAGGAGAATGTGACTGGCCAAGATCACCCAGCTGGTTTTGTGCCTAAGGCATGACTAGAACTCAAAAACTCCTGGCTTCTAGCCTGATGCCTTATGCACTACACAAACTGGTTTTCATTAAGGGTTTAGAACATAATAAGTATTATTATTGGGAGTGGTCATTTTTGTTTCATTGAATTGAATTTGAATTTATTGCATTTATATGCCACCCTTTTCCCCGAAGGGGACTCATTGATTTAATGGAGATGTTGTACTAAGTGTTACACTCCAGAAATTATGGGCACTCCATCAATGGATGCTTCTAAGAGTCTAGGCAAGGAGTTTCAAACTCAATTTCATTGAGGGCTGCATCAGGGTTGTGTTTGACCTCCAGGGGCCAGGGTGGGTGTGGCCAGCTTGACATCACTTGTGTCAGGGGTGCCTATGGAGGCCCAAATGCTCTGCCAATGAAAACGGGCTCCCGAGCTCCATTTTTGGCTGCCACGGCCTTCTGCAACCTGGGCCTTGAGTGTGACACCCCTGGTCTAGACAGTCACTTATCTGAAATGGTATAGGTTAGCCTGCTTGAACAGGGGGCTGGACCAGAAGACCTCCAGGGTCCCTTCCAGCTCCTTTTATTCTATCTATTTCTGCAGTGTGCATGAAGCGTATGTTTGTGCATATTTACAAATATTTATAGATTTGCTATTTAAAAAGTTAAGATATTGAAATAGGCAAATATAGCAATTATTTCCAGTTATGTGAGCCAATCCTCCTCTGTTAGCAGCCTTGCTATGTAGTTGTTTTTCTTATTCCTCTCAGCCCAGCAGACCAAAGTACAAACCACCTCCCCAGACCAATTTACTGGCCCCCAAACTTCAGTTCCAGGTAAGATCCAAGAAGTTTCTGAATGCTACTTTTGTTCTATTCATGCTTTTCAGAACTAAAGCATCTCTTTTGCAATTGGCTTTTTCTTGGCTTATGTTTATTCATTTCTTCTGAGTTGTTGATAAGCACCACTTTCCTTCCCTCATTCCCATTCCCTGTTGGATATGCAGTAGCTGCTTGATGTTTTCCTCCAGAGGTGATTCCAGAGGGATGGTCTGCCCTACAAATTCTGATTAAGAAATACCATTCACTTATTCTGTCCTCTTTGCTTAAAAGTTTTGTTGAAGTGCACCTAGAGGAGGGAAAGCATATAAGAGAGACAATTATGTGTAGGTCCTTTGTAAAACTTTGACAATGGGGCAGGCAAGGTTTAGGGTTAGGTCCCTTTCTATGTGTGTGACGCATGTTTATCAATCACATAATTTATAATCACATGATCATAGCCACCATCTTAACTTTTTTCACCTTCCAGCATGAGAGCATTATTTCAAAATAAAAGCATGGTCTTGTAACTCTCTGCATTTCTAAACCAAGTAATCAATGTGATCCTTCTGTGTTTGCATATAAACTTTCAAAATCTTCACCTGCAATTACATCTCTGTTTTAATTTAATTGAAAAGTTCACCACATTGACTGATCTTACCACTTTATTGTATTGCATTTGGCTTGTTTACCTGACATTTACTTTTGAAAGGAGAGCTTGCGTTTCTGCAAATATATCACTTTGCTTAAGATGCACTTGTAAAAATCTAATCAGAATGTTGTATTCTTGTATTATTCTTGTCCTGCATTGCACCCTATGGGCTAGTTATGCCAATTTTAAAGATAATTTATTTCATTCATATCCCCATTTCCATTTCTGTAATGACCCCCCCACCCACCCATCTGTTTATTTATTTGTGTGTTTATAGTTGAAAGCATGCAAATTCAAGTAGATAAATAGGTACCACTGTGGTGAAAGTATATTTGGGCTCCCTCTAGAAAACAGATATCAACATCACCCCCTAGAGTTGAACATAACCGGCAGGGGAAACTTTACCTTTACCTTATATAATTTGGTCTATTAATTTTGCCCATGTTTTTTTGTGTGAAGAGATTTCAAACATGGACATCCTTAAACCTGCTGGTATTCTTTGCTGATATTTTGATGTTTTATTTTCACTATAAAAGAATGGCACACATTTTTCAAGACAATTAACAAAATGCACTGTCCTGTACTTGGGAATCTTAGTTTTAAACATTTAAAATGTCAATATATGTGAAGTTTTAAAAGAGGCTTTCACAATTGAGAGGAACTGATGGCAAATTAAAACTGTAAGGCGACTTCCTTTTTCTGAAGTAAAATAAAGACACCAGACCTGATAATTTCTAGTGCTTCTTCATGTGGATTCTAAAATCTGTTCCAAAAATCTTAAAAAGCTTCTCTGGCAAAAAATCTAGTATTGCTTGCTAAAATATGGAACAATGTCTTATATAAGTGTTTCTGGAGTGCTTTCTCTGCTCAGTTTGTGTGCCTACTGCTTATGCTGTGTCTATTGTTTTGTGCCCGCTGCCTTTTCCTTCCACCTTTCCAGGTGCCCGAGGGTCTGTGTGCCAGCTCACCAACGCTCACCAGCCCCATTGAGTACCCATCACCTGTCAACTCTCTGCATACCCCACCTCTCAACAGACACAATGTCTTCAAGCGCCACAGCATGAGGGTAAGACAAAGCTGGCCAGCTGGCCTGAGATTCAGCCTGAAAACAAATGCAAGATGGCACCTTCAAGGCTAAAAAGGCAATGGGGGGGGGGAGACATTGATGTGAGTGAGTGAGTGAGTGAGTGAGTGGAAAGCCTTGGCTGACCTTAGTAGGTTGTTGTGAGACTACAAGAGTTGCAATCTCCCGTACACTATATGTTTTATATTTCCTTCAATAAATTTTCAAGAGAGTTCGCTTCAAGTTAGTAATTTTCAACCTGATAAAATTGATGAGCAATGTCAGCACAGTAATGAAAAGGAAATGGAATAAGAGAAAAGACAGGTTTTTTTTATTGATGAACTGAGAAGATGTCTCCCAATTATTCTATTTATTAGATTTATAACCTGTCTTTCACTCCAGAAGTTTAACGTGATATGGGTAGCAGCCCCACTTCTATTTTTGCTCACAGCAACAATATTGTGAAGTACATAGGACTGAGAGTAACTAAGTGAATTTCTGTGGCTGAAGATGGACCCATTCTGGGAGATGGGTCTCACCATTCTGACCAGTACCTTAATTACCATCCAGAAGAGCTTGGCTCTTGGCTCAGTGGGAGATGGCAAGGTGTCACTTTAGAATCTCACACACACCTGATTTATTTATATTTAGATTTATATATTAGATTTCTGAAGACCACTCAACTTCAAAAAGACTTCCCTTAGTCCTCTCCCTCCTAGCCTTGGGCTTTCCATCTAACTGATCTACTTTACAGAGTTATTGTAAGTTAAGATTACAATACAGTGCTAATGACATCCTGGGTTGTCTCGTTTTCTGAAGATAGGTCAAATTACTTGAATTCAAGTTTTACCTCACATCACCACCAATACTCTCAAAAATTAAATCTCAAGGCCAAATTAGATGAAATGTTTTATGGCTTAATTGGCGCACGCACAGCTCCAATGGGAGCATTTGTTTCTATGAGGATATTTCAGTTGAGACTGCTCTTCCTCCCAAAGCTGCCCAGAATAATTGATAAAATTTATAATAACAATATTCTTTAACAGCAGCCATAAAACAATAATAATAAATAAATCATCAAAAAATGGATGCCATCCTCCACCATTCCAACCTGATTTGACACTGCCCATAGGAGAAATTGTTAAAACTATCTCCTACTGACCAGGAGGCTAATCTGGACAGAAGGGAAGGATATTTGCTGATTATTTTATTTTTGGAACGAATCACGTTAAGGCTACTAACATGAAATATTTCAGATTTTTTTTCCTTCAATGTGAAAAACAGTGCCCAAGGAAGCAAATTAACATGTTGCTTGGCTTCCTGATTGGCTATTACCTTTGCTCCCCTGTCCATCAGGTTCCACCATAGAGTGATTCAGAACTTTTTCTCATGACTGAAATAAATTACTATCCATCAGCCTTTAAGCCAGCAGAAAGCTACAGTGGCATGAAAATTCCTTCCCCCATTGGCAGTCCCTGGCCTACCACACACACAGTTGTGGCAAATGATGTTGCTGTTACTTACAGTGGACAGAGCATGTTGACAAGAGAGACTGATGCATTCCCCTGACTTTCCTTTCCACACACATATCACTAGCCAAGATGAAAAACATGCACTGAACATTCAGCTCAATATGGTGGAAGGCAGATGAGTAGATGGATGGATTTAAACATCTGTTCCTCTTCCCAAGTTCACCATGCAACCATTCTACCACTATCAATAATCAGCTGCATAAAGGGGAAATCCATTAATACCAGGAAAGCTAAGGGGAGTTTTAAGTTGCCTTTATGGAATGAAAGTGAGATCAAGCCAACATCATGAGGAATGGCCCTAAATATTGCTCAGTTTCAGACCCTGGTCTGCTGGTTTTCTCTTAAGCACTGCATTTTTCACATTTAATCCCTCAGGGTCAAGTTCTGAAGCTCTAAGACCTAACAACATGTCCTTCAGTTGAATTATTTTAAGATGCACAACTCTACACCAATGTGTAACCACAGATATAGATATGCATATCCATTCCTGAATTTAAAAAATAGTGATTAATCCCAAGATTGGGTTATGAACTGAATTTTGTGACTAAAATGACAAAAACACAGCTTGAGTTTTCATATGCTGAACTTGAGTAGAACGAATCTCCATTTGCTGTTGGTGGGTTGTCAATTATCAAATTACCAGATGCCATATGAAAGTTGTCAGATGCATTGGGTGCCAGTATAGTGTAGAGGTTAAGTGTTGGGTTTGGGCAGAGCAACACAAGTTTAAGTTCTTCTCAGCCCAGTGTACTTCATAGGGTCATTGTTTGGGAGATCCTCTCCTATGTAAGCCCTCTTGAAAAAACAGCAAATATTCATACAATCAATACATAAATAAGGTGCATGTAGACTTTATTTTAACATTCAAACATTCAAGTACAGATAGATGTGGAAGCCTGAGAACAGACTTGGTCATTATCATGCTTTCCTCACCAAGAGGTTCCAATTGTTAAATAAAAAACTGCAAAAAAAAACCCATCTTTCTCTTAAATGGAGAACCTTAGGAAGCACTCTGAAGTAGCTTTCCTGTTTCTTTTGTCACATTGACAAAAGTTTCAGTCTTTCCCCAAGCTCCTAATATATGTTGCTAGGCAACAAGCAGCCTAACTCACTCCAATAAAGGATGACTAGATATGAGTTCAGGAGACTAGTTGGTTCTATTTTCATGCATATTGCTAGGTGATTCCATTCATTCACCCAAAGTCTGGCTGAGGTTCTCTAGCAACAAATTGCCAGAATATATTTAAAAAAAAACTCTAATAATGAAGGTGGGTGAGATGGACCACAACGTAAGCCTTTGTGGGGTTGAAATATACAATCGGAAGCAGGCCTACATCTTTTAGAGGTACAGGCAACAAATCAACAGCTGTATGTGAGAAGCTATGCTCCAGAAGGAGGTCTTTATCTTGCTTTGTTTTATAGCTATTGTTCTTTGTGCTACTCTTTTACTGCTTATGCAAATGTTCTTGCCTAATTCGCTTACATGTCTTTTTTATCGATTAGTCCTGCCTAGCCTGCTTTCATTACAGTCCTATCTATTGAGGAAGGTTCTAGAACATTCTATTGCCTTAGAGGGTTGACATGGGGCAGGGAGGGGGAGGAATGGTTGTGCTTGAAATTGTTATTTTTTTGCCTGTAATGTTGACCCCTATAATAATAAATCTTACATAGCCAAGATCTTCCTTTGTTCAGGAAACAATGATAAAAACATATTAAATCAAAAGGAGTCTTGATGAGTGAATTCATGCTAACCAAGTACAACCTTTTTCCTTTTTTCATCTCTATTCCTTACTTACCTCTGAGCCGAAGCCATTGTGTAGCTCTTTGAGACTTTCGTAGAAAAAGTTTGAGGAATCCAAGAACCTTCAGCCCAGGTTTCATTTAAGAAGTAAAAAGTGGGGTGTGCCCATAACAAGAAAAGTGATATGACCAAACATAGGAACGAACATAATTTGAGAACTTGTCCTCAGTGCATTTCAGATTTCTTGGTTGGACAAAATGGTTTGGCAATTAAATAGATCCAGAGCTGCACGTTGGAACATCCTTCCTCTGCAAATGGAATGACAGACGCTTTTAATCTGCTTTACTGTTAGCAATTTCCGCTGACAAACATATTTGAAGTACATTGGAATTATTTATTGAAGTACTGTTGAAGCCAATTGGCTCTGCTATTTATTTTGCCAAAGGAAAGAGCTACAGAATGCTCATAAAAGGTTGTGCTCCATTTTTGTTTTGGTATGGTTCCAGAATTTCTTTGGATTTTAGACTAATTAAACTTTCAATATATCCTTTAAATCCACCCCCCACCAACTCTCCCTTTTTTCTTAAACTCCAAAAGTCATATCAATCTTAAGCTTAGCCATGTTATGGTCCCTGTAAAAGCTACTTAGCAAATTCTTCCCCCCCCTTCATATCAACATTCAACAATGGCTATCTAGAACTGTAAGTTGTCCCTCATCCCTCTGAGGGCCCAAACTCTGCAGTGAGATACCCTTAGCCCCCCTCTCTCTCCCGCCCTCCTGCCCTCTCCCCCTCTCCCCCTCTCTCTCTCAGCTGCAAAAATATTGATAACCACTAGATAGCAGCGAAGAGATACAGAAAAATCTGTAGGTCTGCTACCATGCAGTGGTCATCAACATTGTTGCAGCCCAAATATGGTAGCCTGAATGATCTTTCTATCTCAGGTGACTCCTCCCTGAAATTCATATCCACATCATATCATATCACCTTTAATTCTGGCTCACACGTGTCCCAATTCCTAAGGTAATTTGTTAGGACTGGTAACTGGGTAGAGATTTGGAAGCGCTATCTCAGAGGGTGGGGAAAGCCTCTCACTTTCCATTCTTTTCCTTCTTTTCTAAGGAGGAGGATTTCCTTAGACCCAGTAGCCGGGAAGAAGCCCAGCAGCTGTGGGAGATGGAACGGGCTAAAATGCGTCAGCTCCTCGATAAACAGCAGAAGCAGATGGTGGAGGACTATCAGTGGCTTCGGCAGGAAGAAAAAGCTTTGGTCAGTGAGTGAAGGAAGCAGAACAGAACCATTGGGATAATAAGATTCGTTACCTTCCAGCTATCTTATTAAATTCAGGGAAGGCTGTTTCACGTAACACGGTCCTTTTGTTGCTTGTGGTAGAAACCAAAGGGGATTGGATGGGAGAGTTATACAATACTGAAAAACCAGCCCAAGGGCCCATATGGAGAAGCTTAAAATAGCCAGTGTGGAACTACTTAAGAGCATTTTCTTTTCTTTTTGTAGATCAGCCTGCTAGGGGTTCCAAATAGCAAAGCTTGGTTTTCCCACTTATTTAAACTGAGATTTAACATTTCTTTAAATGAGTTCTCTTGGGTTGAAAGCTGGATTTTTGCCAATTTAGGTGCTCCAGGTTTCACCTTGGGTGGCAAGTTATTTCTTCACTCAGTGCATCACTCAAAATACTTGGTGTTATTATTCTTATTGATTTTGCCCCTCTTCTCTATCACAGGACCCCATGGCTTCTGTGAAGAGCAATTCTAACCCCCCAGTAAGTTTACTCAAAGGGTCACCTTCCCTGGCATCACGGCACAACCTCTGCTCTCTCCACTCTTTCATAGCCTTTATCTCTTCTGCTGACAATTTCAAAACCAGATAAAAGTCTGAAAAACAATCATAGAAATTAGCCAGTGACTGAATCAAATGACCATGGGGAGAAAACCCAACAGAATATCCAAACAAATTCTTTTCCCCCCAAAACAGCCACAGGATGTTTATTATTTGGGTTCAGCAGCAGGGTCTCCTTCTCTGCATTTCCTTGATTTAGAAATATGTTTTCCCAAACTATGAGCACCTAATTTTTTTAAAAAATGCACCTTTTCACAGGTCTTACTTCTTTCAGTAGGTTGGTGAGAAGGTTGCAGGTCTGGAAGTATATAAATAATTAATACAAGGATGCAGGTCTGGAAATATATCAATAAACCATTAATATATTAAGTAATATTAGACTTGCTTTTATGCAGAATTGTGGTTTTAAGATAAATGTTTGAGAAAGTGTACACTTTGTGCCATCTTTGCCAATTTGCCAAAAATAATTTGCAAATTAATGTACAGTGCAATGAAGCAAATTTACGACGGAAGGTACAAAACTAAGTTGTTTTAAATGGGAAGCAAATATTGTTCAGTGTGGTTTTCTTTTCACGATGCCCATGATCTGTTTTTCAATTTTTATTATTTCTCGCTTTTAAGACACCTAGAGTTGTTTGGAGTTGGGCAGCCTTTAAATTAATTCATTTAATTAAAAACAGGGAAATCTACTGACCGGTGTCCTTTACTTGTTCCCCATTAGAACAGTAAGGATAGATCACTGGCTAACCATACTATAGTTTTCAAGGCTAGAATAGGAAATGGGGCTAGAAGGGGATGATCAGAGCATAGTTTATATTGGTTTATTTTTCTGCTAGCTCACAGGTCAACAAATAACACCATGCTTTGAGCAATCATCCCAGACCAGTATGGAGTCTGGTTTTTTTCTCTTTCTCTCTAAACTTTCTGGAGAATTAGGTTTTACAATCAGGTTGCAGTGATTCTCTTAATAACTGTGACAAAAAAAATCACAAAATGGGCAAAACTCGCTTAACTGTCTTGCTTAGCAACAGAAATGTTGGGCTCAGTGATGGTTGCAAGACGAGGACTGCCTATATTTACTTTATTTTTAAATACCCTTTTCTTTCATTTTTGTTCCTCGTACTACATTTTTTTCTTCTAGATTGACAGTTCACAATCTCACCTGAGACTTGTTACATGTAATAATGGACTCTCCTTTATACTGTATCCCTCCATATTTTACTGCCAAACCACCCTTTGCTGTTATTCAGTTTTTCTAACCTTGGCAAATTAAAGGTGCCTGGATTTCAACTCGCAGAATTCCCCAGTTGGTATGATTTTGGGGGATTGAAGTCCATGCAACCCTTAAAGCAGGGGTGTCCAAATTTGGGTTTAAGACTTGTGGACTTCAACTCCCAGAACTCCCCAGCCAGCCTTGCTGGCTGGGGAGTTCTGGGAGTTGAAGTTCACAAGTCTTAAAGTTCCCAAGTTTGGACACCCCTGCCTTAAAAGTTCCCAGGATTGAGAAACAATGCTGTAGTTCCTAGAACTCCCCAGTTCTTTTGAGGGTAGACCTTGAGTCTTCAGTACAATTGTACTTCTTTACTGAATCATTGTTATACTGCTGTTTTGGGAGCTGTGGGGCTTTGCTTGACTTTCCTTCCTTCTTTCTCTCCAACACCAACTTTGCAGTTGTTTGTGTGACCCTTGCTTTATTCTCCAATGGAGGAAAAGGAAAGCTGTTATTACTGATGCCCCCCCCCCAAACAGAGTTCCATACGATAATAAAAGAGGAGTCCAGACAACTGCCTAGAAGTGTGTGATCTATCCCTCTGATGCGTCAAACCTCCAAATGATTTCTCTGCTTGGTGGACTAGAACTTCAATCCTTGGAAAGCTGGAGCTTCCTTCTGAGGTTGAAGCCTTTGTGTAGCATTTTGCTGCAGGTGTCAAAGGGTTTATTGATTTTGTTTTGTTTTATTCTTTTCAGAAACTGCCAGAGAAGGAAACAAGCTACAGTGAGTATCTCACCCAAGCTGACTGTTCTTCACAAATTATTGTTATCTATTTTTCCATTGATTCTGTGTATTTTGCCTCTCCTCCTGTACAATGAAGGATGTTTGCCCATTATTTCAGTGGTTTTCAAATTTGACAACTTTAAGAGATGGGAATATAAGCTAGGGGATTCTGAGAGTTGAAGCCCACTCATCTTAAAGTTGCCAAATTTGGAATGCACTATCCTATGGGTTGTAGAGTGTAATATTTGTGTAAATATAATCCGTTAGCTGATTGATTAAAAACATGAGGATGTTTTCTTTTTAAAGAAATATTTCATCATTTCATGGCTGCTGCTATGATGTTATTGACAATAAATAAAAATAATAACAACAACAACAGTGATACCCATTGTCATCGGGGCACTTGGTACTATGTCCAAGAATTTTAAAAGATGCATCGACAAATTGCAGCTATCTGCAATAACACCAGCAGAACTGCAAAAAAACCTGTGCTACTTGGAACATCGTACATTTTAAGAAGGCACTTGGTTGATACCTAGGATGCTGGCAGCAACCCGTGTCAATCATTAGCACCAATCAATGGTATTTGTAATGCATTTTTGAATGTTCAGTTGACTGAGTTTCATGTTTAATGAATAAAGCATATAATAATAATAATAATTTCTTTTGTTTCTCTTTATTGATGGCTTAGCTGAGTTTACAGGACCACCCAAAAAGCCACCCAGGCTTGGACCACAGGTACATAATTGATCTTTATTTTTAACTATCTATCTCTTCTTAATCTGAAGCCAGAAATCAAGTAGTTCATGCAAGAGGTCTGGTGTGATTTTCCACATGCGTCAATTGATCTATCCTCATTCTGGGAGGAAAGATTAGAAAATTCCCATTGGGAAAATATACATTTTTTTTCCAAAGTAGTTTCCAATTGTGAGTAACTAGGATGGTAGGTTCCTTTTGTCATTGTAGCCTTACAATAAAACTAGTATATTATTTGTGTTTTTTGTTTCCTAGTCTCAAAAGGTTAATATCAAACATGCAAGTTGGAAAGTGCTTTCCCCCTTCTTATGTCAAGTCCCAGGGAAATTCAAATTCAAATTCAAATCCAAACCTTTACTGTCAGAGTACAACATGTCTACAATGAGATTGGCTGAGCCACCCTTTGTGCATACACACCCAACACAATACAATTCACAGTGAAAGACAAAAAAATCCGTAACGAGTTATTTTTCATTCAGGAGTCTGACACCCCACGGATAAAAACTGTTCTTCAGCCTGTTTGTGCTAGGCTGCCTATGCTTCTATATCTCTTTCCAGATGGAAGGAGAATTAAAAAGGACTGACCAGGGTGTGAGTCGTCCCTGAGGATTTTCAGGGAAATCAGGACATCCAGGCAGTTCAAATGAGTATAAAGATTTTTTGCAAGGTTAAGAATCGGAACTACTAATAGTCCAAGCAATTTGGCGATACATAAGAATCAAAGGAATTCAAGATGGTCTGGACTTAGATCCCTTGTGGGCACGAAGGGACTCGTGACTGATAACGCATTTGACCCCTCCCTCAGGTTCAGCCTGGTCACCTCCTACGCCTTGCCTTTACATTCTAGAGAACTGGAGAAGGTTAATTTTGAAATGTTTTCTCAAATTGCATTTCTGGTTTGGACTCAGATTTCATCGATCAGACATTGTCCGGGCTGCCACTCTTTCTCCTCTCTCTCCAGATTATTCACAGACCATTACATTTACAGTCCCAGCCTTGTTTCTCTTTCAACGTAACACTGAGGGACCAAGTATAACAGATAACAGAAAGATTTCAGAGAGGAGCCTTGCACTGTGAATTGATGCTAAAAAGCTCCCTTCCTTCAAATGTTGAAAAACAGTGTAATGGTATGTGAGAAAGAGCTTAGGAGACGGGATGAAAAGATGCTGCTTAGGGGCCAGCAAAGATGCATAGTGGGTACAGCAAAAGGCTTCAGAAGGGCCCTCCCTAGTTTTCAAGGCTGTAAAGCTGATGATAGGAAAAGATTTCCTTTCCGATTTACAAGATTGTGTTAATGTAGCTTTACAATAAGGTAGAATTAGTTTTTTTATTGTGTTTCGTTTCTGGTCTACCTGGTAAGATAGACTTATCCCAATGAGAAGCTCAGCATGGTTACTGTCCTTGCTTTCCCTGTGTGTGTCCATATTTGTTTCTGTGTGATGTTGGTGTAGCTTTGCTGATAGTTCCACAGGAAGTGTCTTGTGCATACACTTGCAGAGAACACAACTCCTTCCAAAGTTTTGAGATCAAGCTCTCTCCCATACACACATTTTCTGTTTTTGGGTTGTAGGGTTTTTTCCTTGAATCTGTCCTTTCATCTTGGAAATAAATAAAAATTCATGTCAGAGAAAGAAAGAAAAATAAAGGAAGGAAGGAAGGAAGGAAAGAAAGAACATTGTATTTTAATCTTGGAAATAAATAAAAATTTATACACAGAGAGAGAGGGGGGGGAAAGGACTCTCTTTATGCCCAAAATCCTTGCAAAGTGCCCATTCCAGTGTTTCACCCAAACATAATGAACTCTGACAAAACTGGTGCTGAAATGGGCTACCAGAGGAAAAATGAAATTAGCATGGAGGAACCTCAGAATTGATAGAAGTACAACAGAAACTTTAAAAATCTGTACAGGTAAAGGGAAAAAATTAAAAATCTTGGCAGATGTTATTGATTATGCGTAGCAGTATGGATTTCAGTTATAAATGAAATACAGACTTCATTCTGGTAGATGTTCTGTTGCATTTCTAATTGTTATTTTATGTCCCTTTGGAAGCCTTCCACAATCCAAACTCTACATTACATGGTAATAAAATAAGTAAAAAGGGTGATTAACAAGAATGATAAGTAATAATGAAGAGGAATGCCTCTGGGTTGGGGAATTCTTATTGGAGAGTAACTGTGTGCCCTCTTTTTCAGATGTCCCTACAGCCGACTCCCACAGCCAATCTCGATCGAACAGATGATCCTGTGTACAGTGATGTCATGGGGCTGGTGAAGGCTGTCCTGCGGTTGAAGAATGAAGTCAGCAACCATCCACCTGAGCGATATATTCTAGTTGTTAAAGTATGTTCTTTTATTTGACCCAACCCTGAACAAGTTCTCAGAATGGTATATGGAAAAGAAAGAAAGCAGCGCGAAGTATAACACAAACATGAGACTGTCCTCAAGTAGAAACCAATCTAAGCCTGTAAGAGAGTCCAGAATGAACAGGAAGGAACAAACAAAGGATCCATTTGTAGGAACCAAGTAGCAGGCAGCTGCCAAAGTAGTGTGCTAGGATTTAGAAAGTCGGTATTATCATTTTATTAGTATTTCTTTAGGAAGTACTAGATAGAGTCGGCTCAGTTAAAAGAATCATTAAGGCAATGGGGAGCATAAGAAGCCTATCAGAAGCTCAGAAAAACCACAAAGGTAAGCTGGACATACACTTTGGCAGGGGGGTGTCAAATTTACTCAGGTTTCATAACTGCAAATGACAGGGGGGGGAAATCTAGAGCCCAAATCAAAAGGCAAAACTGCAGTCATAAAAAACTGATGGTGTCCTAAAGGATATTTATTTGTTTGTTTAGTCTTTCACAGAACTCATAAAGGTCTCATAGGATTCTGCAATAAAAACTCCTCTAGGCAATTATTTTCTAGATTGCATCTTCCATTCATGCAAGTTCCCTCTATAGTTAGGCCCTTCATGCGATGAACCGAAATAGCTGGAAGAATTTTCACATTACATTCTGACTTTTTTCTTTTTGTAGGATGTGGGTCTTTCTCTCCGAAAACTCATTGGGAGTGTGGATGACATCCTTCCGGTTCTACCTGCATCCTCACGCACTGAGGTGAGTCTTGATCAACAGTCAATCTTTCTGATTTCTAAGTGAGACTTTCCCTCTTAAAAATCAAGGATTAGAAATGGGCCTGCCAACCTTGGCTAATTCCTGGCAAGGGATTGTGGCCAATTATAAGAATAATTTATTTAAAATCCTCTATCTACCAGTGCAAGAACTGAGCAGAGATCGAAGGCAGTGGCAAAGAATTTGCTTCGCCTGCAGAAGGTCCAAGATTCAATACTTGGTATCATCTCTTTAAAGAAATGAGAAAACCTTTTATCCAAGATTTGGAAAGGACTTATTCTGAGAGTCAGTAATAACACCAGAAGATGACATATTAGATGGCATATGTGAAACTAATGCTTATCGGAATAGACAACACTCAGTTGCCAGTTTTACAACATCGTTTGTCTCAGCATAAAGAAGCCTTTAATATGCTGATAGTATTTCATAGTTGAGGTTCTGTTTGTTAATCTATTTTGAAATATATAATTAAATATCCTTTGGCATTTTGAATGTATTACCTTTTTTACTAAAAGCTAAAGTAAATAAATAGGTATGCGGAGGCTCAGTGGCTAAGACGCTGAGCTTGTTGATCAGAAGATTGGCAGTTTAGCAGTTCGAATCCCTAGCGCCGCATAACGGAGTGAGCTCCCATTGCTTGTCCCAGCTTCTGCCAACCTAGCAGTTTGAAAACACGTAAAAATGCAAGTAAAAAAATAGGGACCACCTTTGGTGGGAAGCGTTCTGTGCGCCTTTGGCATTTATTCATGCTGGCCACATGACCACGGAGATGTCTTTGGTCAACGCTGGCTCTTTGGCTTTGAAATGGAGATGAGCAACTAGCACATATGTGCAAGGAGAACCTTTACCTTTAGAGCAAATAAATACGGAATCATATGGTTTTTTTCTCCAAAAGAGTTAATTGGGGTTGTCTTAAAACTCCCTGTTAAAATTGAAATAATATTTAATTTAATGGCCCTCTATTGCTGTGTGTTTCCCATTGGCAGATTGAGGGTACCCAGAAGCTCCTAAATAAGGACCTTGCGGAACTGATCAACAAGATGCGTCTGGCTCAGCAAAATTCTATGACCTCATTGAGCGAGGAGTGCAAGCGCCAGATGTTAACGGCTTCGCATACTCTGGCTGTGGATGCAAAGAATCTCCTGGATGCTGTAGACCAAGCCAAGATGCGAGCCAACCTTGTGAAGGTCTCTTTTGAGTGATCGAGAGGGCTGACTTACGGATTTTTTAACCATCCCTCCACAACTTTCACATCCTGTCCCCCATCCTGCCTCACCAAAAACTGCTTGTATCTTTGATTTTGTCATGTCTGTCTTCTGAGAGCAACGGAGAAGCCATGCTCAGGGCAAGGAAGAGACCTTTTTTTTTCCCTTCAGTGTTCTGTGGACAATGCTGCTAAGGGCCACTGTGTGCACGAGAGGATCCTAGTCCCAAGGTGAGGATTCTCTAAACCAAACTTTGAACTCTGAATCTGCACCAGTCGTCCCATCATAGAAAGTGACTTCCGAATATATTCTGTTTCCTTTTGACAGTACCTCTGGCATCAAGTGATACAGTTTGTCCCACTGGTGAAAGGAATCACAGGCAGGGATGGGTGGGGTAGCTTATGAGCCTCTACACTGTTCTCAGGATAAGCAAAAAATAAAATAAAATGACACGTAAGATTTCTCCTTGGTTGATCCAAGGGTTCTAAAAAGCCTAGTGAGGGAGAATATGTTTGCTAGGTCTTGCTACATCTATTTTGACTGAAGATGTTCCCATGGGGATGCTGGTTCCTCAGAAGAGACTGTGCATCTTTCTGTGTTGTATAGAAACATATATTTAATGGCCCTGTCTGAATGTGTGCACCCTCCCTAAATCTTCTTCCCTTAATAGCCTCATTTATTGAATTTTTGAACCAGTTTAAAACATAGATCTCTCTCTGTCAATTATACAGATTCAAATAAATGTATAAAGCCATAAGAAGTACAGAAGGGCATCAGGGTTTAAGAATTTGGAAGCGTTTCAGCCATTATAAGCTGGTTAACTTGAAAAGTTACTTGTAGCCACCACAATGTTTCTGGGTTTTTAGGTATAAGGTTGCAAGTTTAGATGTAAACGACATTGGTACAGCTTGGGAGGGGGGTGTTTGTACATATCTTCCCTACTCTTATAAATATAGATCAAACACAGATCTGATTCCATATTTGCTACTGAATTATAATTTGAAATTAAAGTTTCCTGGTAAGCATTGGTATTATGCCTCATAAATATGGGGCTTACATTTTGCTACTAAAATTGACGCTTCTGTTGAAAACAAGCACGTTTTGAAGGATTAGAAGCCATTAATATGTTTGTAATCCTATTGTCTTGAATGCAAGTATCTCATTCCTGAGGGAGAGGAAGGGATGGGGGGGGAGGAGAGGGAGGAAGCTGGAAAAGGTGCCTAAGAAATTGACAAGGTATTTATATTTCTAGACCTACATGAGGTCTGCACAGTTTATCCATACTTCTTCATATTATCTTTATGTGTTTAAAAAAAAACAAGTTTAGAAAACTTTGTTTGCTATGTGGGTTTTGACCAGAAAATTAAAGCAATGTTGTTTATTTTGCCTGAGATAAATTAAATATAAAACTCCAGTGGCTGATCTTACATTTCTTCATCACTTCATCATCATTTTGTTCTTATCTAAATATCTGATGTGGTGCCATAATGCAGTATTATGTTTTACTATCTGCACAAAGAGCAGGGATGTCAAAATTGCATCGTCATGTTGTCATCACGTGATGTATCATGACTTTACCCCCCTTCGGTGATGGGCGTGGCCAGCGTGTGATGCATCTGGCCCATGGGCTTCGAGTTGGACACCCCTGACGTAGAGGTTGCAGGTTTGGTCCCTGACATTTTACAGTTGAAAATGCTCTACAGCTGGGAGGACTCTCTTGACTGCAACCTGGAGAACCATAGTTCAGGGGTGTCAAACTCATGTCATCTATATGCAATACAGAGGTGGGTTCCTGCCAGTTCTAACCTCTTCTATAGAAGAGGTTCCACAAATCTAGCGTGCCGTTTAGAACCAGTTCCAGCTCCCTCCCGCCCCACCGCCCATCTGCACCACGCTTGCCCCGCCCACCGCTCACTGATTGGCTGGCTCACCAATTGTCCCCCCCGCCTCTAAGAGTCCCATCTAAACCTTAAAGTCTTAAAGCTGTCAAGTTTGAACACCCCTCAATTTTTTTTCTAAAGGGTTAGAGGTGCAAGGGTCTTGTAACGTGACAGCTTTAAGACATGCACACTTCAATGCCAGAGTTCCTGAGCCAGCATGACTGGAGGGGGAATTCTGGGAGCTGAAGTCCACAAGTCTTAAAGCTGTTAAGTTTGAACACCCCTGGGGGTTTTTTTCTAAAGGGTTAGGGGTGCGAGGGTCTTGTAACTTGACAGCTTTAAGACTTGCGTGCTTCAAATGCCAGAGTTTCTGAGCCAACATTTTGGTTGCTAAGCAAGAGCGTTGTTAAGTGAGTTTCACCACATTTTAAAACTTGGCCATGCCCACTCAGTCACATGACTGCCAAGCCACTCCCACCCAGTCACATGGCTGGAAAGCCACTCCCACCCGGTCACATGGCCAGCAAGCCATTCCCACAAAGCAGGCCACACCTATAAAGAGGTTCTAAAAATTTTTGAAACCCACCACTGATGCAATTGTAAAATAGCTACAATGATTACAGAAATATAGTGGCCACTGCACACGAATTTTCTTGGTGCTTCAGCTTTTTACAACTTCCACTCTATTGACAGAGCCAAGCTACTTCTCTTTAAAACATCTCATATGTAGACTGCTTATGATACTTTGCTATATTCACAAGATTCAGAGAATTACAGCATATGCATGTTTTTGGTTATTCATCGAGCTAGCATTAATAGTCTCAAGGTGTCTCAAATTCAAGTTGTCTCAAACTTTTCTGAAGACCATACATTGTATTCCAGCCAAAATGCAAGGCTGTGTGTGTGTTATGTATGACCCCCCCCCCCAATGCAAAATTCTCAAAGCACCTAGCAAAACTGCACAAAAATACAAATAACGATAATTAAGGGTCAATTACATTTTCATGTAAAAAAAATGTAAAGGCAAGGGGGGAAACAATTAAAGCAAGGTTGACCAGGCTGGGTATTTTTTTAAAAATGTTGTATATTCACTTGCTGTTGGAAACCCCTTGGCAAATTATTGATTCTTACCATTACTCTGCACAATGGGTAGTTTGTGGGCATTTTTCCAATACTTAAGGGGGTTTTAAAAAGCGAAATCAATGACTTAATTACCTCTTAAAAAGAAAAAACCCTGAGCATTTTTCCAAGTTTGCCCGGGTGGAAAGTATTAAAGGAATAACATTTAGAGTTCCTTGATGCCTCATAAAACAAGCAAAACACTTGGCTGTGTTGATTTTAATTACAACATATAGTCACTGTTCACCTGTATCCACTGCCCTTTTAATCCTTTAAAGTGGCTCCAAAATCATTGCCTGCCCCTGCATTATGGCTTAATCTTAGAGATGAACCATGCCCAAAAAGTGACTAAATTGGCTGTGTGGATTCCCATGTACTTGCATTTCATCAAGGGAGGTGGGTTGTGCCACCAAGTACACAATCCAAGTGAAAATGATGATACAGAAACAAGATTACTCACTGAATTGGAGAGTAGGACAGGACACGCAATCAAAAATAGCAATTCTACTTTCTGAAGTTTTGTAAAAAGCAACATTTGAAAAATCAGATTGCAAAGATGTTATCCTAGCCCCAATACTGTGATGAATCAGTAAAATGATTTGAAAACTTTCTATCATCAGTGGTTGGCTCAAGACCATCACAGGTGACACACAGACACTCTGCTTGTCTTTGTCCTCTGTGAATCTACCCACTTTGCCTGACAAAGAGGAGTTGAGGCTGCTGATAGTGGGACTTCTGGTAAGCCATCAAGGATGACAGTTTGTCAAGAGAAGGAACCACAGCAAAAGGAAAATCAATTGCCACTAGCCAAAAAGAAGGGTGTTCCATCCATCCGCCCATCCGGTCATCTTCTTTTAATGACCCCATAATCCCTTGCGGGGTGCAACTGAATGGAGCTGAGTGTTTACTGGCCAGTTGCCTTTCCTGTCGCCCATGCAGAGTTTTATTCAGCAGATATACTCACATTGTGCCGAGAGAGAGAAATATCTGCCTCTACCTAGGATTGAACTCACAGCCTCCTGATTGTGAGGTGAAAGCGCCACCTCTAGGCCACCGCACCACTCCTTCATCCACCCATCCTATGATATTTGCAAACAATTTTTTGCTTGAAGTTCAAAGTGGAATCTCTAAAAAGTCTCTCTGCTATTCAAGAGTTGCTCCATTGTCTATAAGTACCAACCAACTGTTTGCATTTCTCATGCTCATAGACTTTTTTGAAGGGCAAAATATGATATTCTGAAAACCAGGTTTTAAAACTTTGTTCTTGTATCCTCAGATTTAAAAGAGACGAGTGTAAAAAACAAGAGGAAGCCTGTAGGCCAATTATGCAAGGACATCTTTGTCTTTTAAACATCCTAGGAGAAGACGATGCTGGTGTGATTTAAATAGGAGACTATGCACACCTGAAGCCTCTGTATTTCATTGACAAAAAAATTGGCCACATCTAATAGGACTCCTAACTGAAAAACTGCACCAATAAATGGATCAGCTAATTTTCATGCATGAAGGCAGCAAATAACCAAGGCATGAATTAGAGATACTGAAAACCAAGCTTGTTTTAAATATATACCCAGATGTGGTATTCAACCGGTTTGGACCAGTACACCCGAACCAGTAGCGGCAAACTGCTGGTGCGCTCACCCACCCACTAATCCCGGCTCCAAAACTTCCTATGAAGCCTCATTTTCAATGCCGTGTGGAAGCAAAGCACATGCGCAAAAGGCAACACGCATGCGTGGAAGGTGTGTGTGTGCTCACAGTTCCGAACCAGTGGTAAACCTAAGTGAATCCCACTGCTGTTCATACCCTCTCCAATGCGGTGCCCTCCCTACGCACCATCTTACAACTCCCATCATCCCCAGCCAGCACAACCTTTGATCGGAGTTGCAATCCAATATATTCAACAAAAATCACATTGGAAGACTTTGCTGTGCCCTAATAGAGGAACAGAACCCAGGATGCAATAAGTTGGAAAGATTTTTTTTTTACTTTCATTAACAGTAGTCCTCAGAGGGTATGGATGACTAGCTACTATCTTAATAACATTTCTTACTTTAAGTCCCTTAATAGAAAATTTATTATCTACCTGACTGCTTGCCAGAGCAGGAAGATGAGGTATAAACCAAATGATTGCATAATAAATATTTTCCATGCATCTCCAGAAATTCTCATAATTTATAAATCCTCAACACAGAGGCTCCCCAGCACATTTTTTGTAATACAAGGATTTAAATGCTGCTTCAATAGCAGGTAACAAAGAGACTTTGTTAAATCAAAGCACTTTCCCAGTTTGGATATTATTCTAGCTCACATGGTGACATTTCCCCACTGCAATCAGCTTTTTAACTTTTCCCTTGGCTTTTCTGGAATAACAGCAGACAAGCTTAATGAGCCACAGCATCAAGAATTTCTGGCCACTGCACTATATGTGGCTCACAAACCCCTTTTATGCCCCACAGAGCTGCCCCACATCATACGGCTGAATAATGGTGGGCATGATTTTCTCTTGATTTTTGGCAAAACAAAAATATGTAAAAGGGTACACAAAACCTCAAGTTTAAATTTGCATTATTGTTTTTTTGTTTAAGTTTGCCTTATAGTTCTTTGTTTATGTTTTGAGGGTTTTATATGATGTTAATAATTCCTGGGCAACAGACACTGGGTCAAGAGGATAATCCTGCTATTGGCTTCTTTAGGAAGTCGAATGGAAGATTGGGTGGCATTTTTATGGAGACTGTCTGGTGATGTTGATATATTGAAAGGCAGCGACTTCATCCTGCATATCAATGCTAGATCATGCCTGCCAGAAATGGAGGAAGGAAAAGTCCAATTGTCCCCAACAAACAGACAAAGATAAACATCCAGAGGAAGATGCGGTCAATCACCATGGCAACATATTTCCAATCTTCTTTGACCTGCAACAAATGAAAAATCATAACCAGGGTGACTGATTAGCAAGTTAACAGGAATTCACCATGATTGGGATGAGAAAACTTAAAAACATACTACAAATGCTTCAGTAACTTAGTCCCAGTGCAGTAGGTTAGCAATAGCAAAAGCACTTCACAGTGCTTTACAGCCCTCTCTAAGCAGTTTACAGAGTCAGCATATTGATCCCAACAATCTGGGTCGTCATTTTACCCACTTCAGAAGGATGGAAGGCCNTGGGGATAGGTTCCTAATTCACCCGCCCGAGTGTTTGATTGTTGAACGAAAGTTGTGTTTTACTATTTTTTTTCTTTGTTCACATTTTGTTTTGTTTTTGATGTTGCCCTTCCCTCCCTTGTGATTGTAAGCCGCCCTGAGTCCCCTCAGGGAAAAGGGCGGCCTATAAATTTTAATAAATTCAAATTTTTTTTTTTAATAAATTAAATTAAGTAGCAAAAGAACAACCTCTTACACAAACATTAGCTGTTCATGGGCTTTATTTGTATATTATTATGAACCACGAAAGTTCATTTTAAATTTTTTTGTCAACATCTATGTTATATTATAATCTATTGTTGTGAATATGTAAACCTGTCAAAAAAGAAGTTTCTGAAGCATTAAAATCTATTTCTACATATATGGAGGAAATTAAAGAGATACAGCTTTTTAAAATCTCTTTTCCTCCTCCTCTTCTATGCACCAAACATGATCAAAATACCTCTGCAGATAGAGCTTGATATGAAAAAGCTTCAACTGTTCCCAAAGCATATAATCTTTATTTGAAGACTGCCATGTTTTTTCTAGTCAGCTGAAATATTAAAATCTGTTCCCTTGATTGTCATTCTCAGACACCTTATTTCCAGCTACCCCACATGAGGAAAAAATAGGAGATAGGATAGTTGAATGCTATCTTCTGCTCCTGAAGGAAAGGCAGGGTATAAATCTAATAAATAGAGATTTACAGACAAACAAGAGAAGATTTATGAATCCCAAATATCTTTCTTATCCATGAAAATATGAACTATGGTTATTTGATAACTTGACATATATATCAAATCATCACTAATATTCATTAGTGAGTAATAAGTATACAATAGCATATATACTATATATAAACATTCCCATATCCATACTTTTTTTAACTTGGCATAAAAATAGCATTTTAGTATGTCATCATATATTAGAGTTTAAATTGCTGACACTGCTACTTATTAGTATCAATATCCCTGCTACTATTGATCAACCCTCCCCTCCCCCCAAAGTGGATGCTGCATAAGTCAATAAAATAGAATACAATACTTACCAACATGAATGAAACCGCTCAAAGTATAATTTTAGCTACTATTTTAGTTGACAGAGTCTCATGCAGGTCATTTCTGAGGCAGAACTTCATTCCAACTGGAGAAGTCACATTTGACACATAAAGTGGTATTTGAAGCACAGGTCTTAAGAATCTTAAACACCTTATTTCTAAAGCTATTGTATTTTTACAGCCAAAAAGCCAAAGCAAATAGCTCAGTGCCTTAGTTCAAATGGCAGATGCATTTCTTGCCCTGTATCAAACTACATTTAAAACACCATCATGATTCTTGTGCATCTTTTCCACTCTTGTCTAACATTATTCAATGTTTGGAAGTAGAATTTCATTATAATTAAGTAAGTCTCTATTAATAGATTGACCTATCAATCAAAAAAAATGAATATATTATACACAGGCACCTCAACTTTTAATAGGTTTCTTTAGTCTACTGTATATGAATAAGCTGGTCTATGCTGTGTAGTCTAATATTAAACACACTATCAACATAGCTTTTAAGCAAATAATACACAAGTGAAATGAAATGGTTGTGAATGTTACTCAAAACCAAAAGGAAATAATTCATGCTCTGCTAAATACGGCCCTATTAAATATGGAGCAAATCAATTAACAGAAAACATATTTCTTTTCTTTTAATAAGGCAATTGATATGCTTGCTTAATTTTTAATATTTTTATATAGAAGATTGTTAAAAATTACATGCAGGTGTTTTGCCCTCTAATTTGCCAGCATTCTATTGTACTTAACTAACTTCTTTTTATTATAAAAGCAAGAAACTTATTTCAAGTAAACATTAAATAATATGGATTTAATTTCCTGTAGTGGATAGAATAAAAAATGTCCCTGGAATTTTATGGCACCATGGGAGATGAGCTACTCTTTAAATAATAGTAATAATTTTAAAAAATAATATATCAAAGATATTATTTTTCAAATTATCCATTGCTTATAAAATGCATTTGTTGAAAGTCATACAATTAACCAACATAAATATACTTTGCCTTATACCAATGAACTGGGCTTATACTTTTTTAAAAAAAGAAGGACAAAGGGATCCTTTTTAAAAAGGGAAAATATTTTCTGGCACCTTAAAATAAATATGCTTCTAGCCGTTCTGATTATGTTTTAGTCCAGTATGACAAATTCTTTTAAGCAAACGAATGATAGCAACTTGATTTTGAGACTTCTCACTACTGTTCTTGCTACTACCCCAAAGGAGATTGGGGTGAGATCAGCAGTTTGCAGAGGAGGTGAAAGCAAACAAGATATCAGAGATGCATTGTGATTTATTTATTTATTCTGTTGAAAATAAATTAGATCTTTTGTTTATTTATGGGATCGCTTGCGTTCTTGCTGATATTCTACTTATGTTAGTTATATAAAGAAAATAAAAGTAGCAACAAAATACATTGATGACAAACCACTTGGATTAGAAGAATAATACAAAGAAAATTTCCCAATTTTGAAATAGCATGAGGTAAGCTCATGGCAAGGATCAAAGTGCAGACTCTTTCATGGAATTCCCTAAAGTTTATTCTGAGATGACAATTTTAGATTTAGTTCCAAGGAAAGTAAGCACAGCATTTGCAGCTCCTGGGAATGTAAGATTCCTATATGACTTTAAAATGGATCATAAATAAAATCTAATAACATTGTGGCCTTGTTTGTGCTGAGCACTGTTGACATGTAAAGAAATGATTTATCTATGGAGATAGAAATGAAATAGACATTCTTAGGAACATTCTTAGGAAAATAAGGACTGATCTAATCTAGATATGCACATTACTTAGTATTATTAACACCAAGCTTCTAAAAAGAGAACCATGCAACAGGGAAGTTCATTTTGCCACATGAAACCTTCAGCTGTTCCTGAAAGCTTTGATGGTCTTTAGGAGTAATGTTATGTATAAACTAGTACTCCAGAAGAAAAAGTTCTCTCTTCTTCCCATTCTTCATGCCAAATTTATATTCCAACAAAAAAGTTTGGCTCAGTTCCATTCTTTAGGGAGTGTTACCAAAATCAGCTGGTCTCCCTTCTTCTCTCCATGGTACTGATAACTTTTAATTCAATTTTTTCTTAAGAATGTAACAGTATGAAATGTATGTATTTGTGTGTGTGTGTGTGCGTGCGCGCGTGCACACACGCAATTCATAACAGAAGAATCTTTCATCAAGCCCTGTTCCCAGCTTAAAGATGTTCACATTAATTACGATGACATGCATTTGAAAAGAGGAAATACTGTAGAACTTTAACACCAGTATTTGAGGCAGAGTAGATTACTCGGCCAAAGATAAACAACACTGAGCTTTTAAACAATGTCAAATGTTGACATTTTAGATACAGATAACTATGCATTTTGAAAATGACAATTGTTTTCCTAGCAGACGGAGATAATGTTTCTGTCAGCCATAAACTTAAATTTGGATATAGTTTTTTTTTTACTGTTTATCTCTAGAAAACACTTTTAAAACACGCACCTATCAGTTATAACCTTGCTTCCTGTCGTTTGGTATTTTCTTCTGTAACCCCCCTTTTTTCCTGATAAAAAGCTCATCTCTGGAAAGCAGTGTACGTAAACTGCCAATTAGACTTGTAACATTTTCTGTTCCAGTCTGTGCTGTATTCAGTGAGATTGGATACTTTAATTGCACCAAGCTTGTATCTTATCAAAAGCTGTCTACAGGCTCATTGGAGCCTCTGGGTTTGCAAGGGAAATCCAAATAAGAAACTAATGGTGATAGTTGAATGCAATAGCTGGCCAATGCAATAGTTAAAATGCTGAGACCAAGAGTTCAAGCCACTCAGAACTCTTCCTTGAATGTTCCTGGGGGAAAAAAAGAACATGAAAGCATTCATCAAGCTGTGGCATATTGACATTACACCACTGTAAATGCAGCTGGCTCTCAGCACTACTACAGAGGTCAGGCCAATTCTCACAGTCTTGCCATCTCATGGGGAAAATAATCAAATAGTCTCTGCATGATGGTAGTTTATGTATTTAATTGTTCAACATGACTTCATTCATTCACACACAGACATTTAGAGGGCCACTCATTTTTCTGACACACCTGAGAATGCTGGGTGCTTCAGCAGAACTTCTTTGTCAAAATGGAGAAATTAGCTCATTGGCAACTAGCAAATAATGTGTTTCATTTTAAAATCAGCATATGCAGGAAGAAAATGTTATTAGAACATACTCTACCAACCACCTAGCGCTAGACTAATATACTATTTATAGGACTTCTGATGAGACTACATAAACGGATTTCACCTCTTACATTAAATATTAAGGAGTACTGATTTGGTTCTTTTATTCAAAAGCATCAACAACATTCCAATTCTCTTTTTTTTAATGCTGAAGTTTTGTCCTATAGAAAATTTACAACTGCCACATTGGAAACCTCAGATCTTGGCATAGAAACCATTGTGGAGTCTTACTTACAAGGTAAATAAGGATTATAGGAACCTTGGAATGTTGCAGAGATGACTTAAGAAAGCAATGTCTGTGATCAAAAGCACCACAAACACACCATACAAATTACCATATTTTTCCATGTAAGATGCTTTTTCTTTAAAATGTTTACTTGAAAATGGAGGGGCCTCTTATAGACAGGAGGCTGCAAGGATGAGCCTCTATCTTATATGCAGCTCTATCATTCCTTTCTAGT